AGCTGCTGACTCCATCCCTCTTACCAGTCTGGCTGAATGGTTCATTGTTGTCAGACTTCCACACAGTTCCATTTTCTGTGTTTTGTTACTAAAACTTTGTTGTCTTTAAACTTAGTTGTGTGAAGAGGCACAGTGTTTCCACCTACGCCTCCATCTTGGCTGGATGTCTAATCTCTCAGAATCTTAAAAGTGGCAAGAAGTGAGAGACCACACTCCAGCCGATAACTCTAATTCTCCTCTACTTGTATTCATTGATTATTCTGACCCCTTCACCCCTATTACAACCTTCTTTACTCTGCTGTTGGTAACAAAATGTTATTTACTTGATAGGCTCTCAGTTGACTGTATACTGGTTCAGAACGGGACTCTCATATTTGTTTCCATTCCTTAGAGTTGTATCTAGGACTTTTCCCCCTCTTTGGTCAATCTTAAAGTCCTTTTAATTGAATGAACAAAGAAAATAAAATACCTTAGCAATATTCAGCACTAAACTAAAGAAGCATTAAACTAGGCCAGCCAAGATGGAGGCATAGTAGATACACTTTGCCTCCTCACACAACCAAAAGAAAAACAACAAACTTAAAAACACAAAATAACCAGAACTGACAGAAAATCAAACTGTATGGAAGTCTAACAGCCAAGGAGTTAAAGAAGAAATATTCATCCAAACAGGTAGATGGGGTGGAGAAGGGCAGCTGGGGTAGAGGACACGTGGCAAGGCTGTGGCTGGCGGACCAGGCAAGGTGGCAGCTGGCAGAGCAGGTAGTCTCACATTAGTGTTTCGATGAACCATGGGGAACAACTGGAAAGTGAGACAAACCATGCAACCCACAGTTCCAGTGAGGGGAAACAAAGCCTCAAAAGTTTTGATTGGAAAAAACCAGTGGGGGTTGAGGCAGCAGGAAAATCTCGCAGCCTCATAGGAGAGTTCGTTGGACACACCCACAGGGTCTTAGAACATACACAAAACCACCCACCAAGCAATGAGCACCATAAGGGCCCAATTTGCTTATGGTAACAGAGGAAGTGACTTAAAGCTGGCTGAGAGGTGGGCAAGTGGCACTGTTCCCTCTCAAACCCCTCCCCCACAACAGTCACCTGGGTTACTCCACAGTGGCCAATACCATTACTACTTAACAGCTGCACTGAGACAAAGAAATATGACCCAAATGAAAGAACAGATAAAAGCTCCAGAAAAAACACAACTAAGTAATGAAAAGATAGCCAACATATCAGATGCATAGTTCAAACCACTGGTAATCAGGATGCTCACAGAAATTGATTTTAGTCACAAATTAGAGGAACAAATGAAGGCTAAACTAATTGAAATGAAGAGAAATGCACAGGAAACCAACAGTGACGGAAAGGAAACTGGGACTCAAATCAAGGGAGTGGACCAGAAGGAAGAAAGAAACAACCAAACAGAAAAGAATGAAGAAACAAGAATTCAAATATATGAGGACAGGCTTAGGAAACTCCAGGACATCTTTAAACGTTCCAACGTCCAAATCATAGCAGTGCCAAAATGAGAAGAGGAAGAGCAAGAAATGAAAAACTTATCTGAGAACATAATCAAGGAGAACTTCCCCAATCTGGCAAAAGAAATAGACTTCCAGGAAGTCCAGGAAGCTCAGAGAGTCCCAAAGAAGTTGGACCCAAGAAAGCACACACCAAAGAACATCGTAATTATATCACCAAACATTAAAGATAAGGAGAGAATCTTATAAGCAGCAAGAGAAAAGGAGATGGTTATCCACAAATGAGTTCCCATAAGAACTACAAGGTTCCCAAAAGAAACCTTGCAGGTAAGAAGGGACTGGAAAGAAGTATTCCAAGTCATGAAACGCAAGTACCCACATCCACGATTACTCTATCCAGCAAAGCTATCATTTAGAATGGAAGGGCAGATAAAGTGCTTGGTGAGTTCATTATCACCAAGCCCTTATTATATGAAATGTTAAAGATACTTACCTAAGAGAAAGATAAAAAATATGAACAGTAGAATGAGAACAGACTCACAGCTATCAACGAATGAACCTAAAAAAACCAAAAACAAACTAAACAAACGACTAGAACAGGAACCAAATCACAGAAATGGAGATCAATCACATTGTGGGTTACCAGTGAGAATGGGTGGCAGCAAATGGTGGAACGGTACAGGAAATAAGAAGCATAAACAGTAGGTATAAAATAGACAGAGGGAGGTTAAGAATAGTATGGGAAATGGAAAAGCCAAAGAACTTATGTGGACAACCCATGGGCATGAACTAAGGTGGGGGAATGATGATGGGATGGGGTAGTGGGCAGAGGGGAAAAAAGGGGAGAAAAAAATGGGAGAACTGTAATAGCATAACCAATTAAATAAATAAATTAGTAAAAGTAGGCACCTTTATTCCTAAATATACTAGAGATGTTATTTCTAATGTGAATAAAATGCATGTTTACTAAACATGTGACGCTTCCAGGAAGAGACAACTCTAAATTTCTTTTTTAAGCTGTGGCTTACTTGTCTTTCCTCCTTTCTGTTTCTCAAAGATTGATCACTTTCAAAAAAAACAAAACAGTGCAGTATTACGTACATAAATAGGAGATACTCATTCTTTGGTACACGCAACAATATTTATTGGGCAACTGTTTTGTACAAGGTACTACACTGGGGTAGGGACAGGGTCTAGACTTATACTGAACCAGACAGACACAAGTTCTATCTTTGTGGAGTCATAACTAGTGGGAGAGAGTGACAGTAAACAAGTACATGGATAAATCAATGCATAATTCCAAGTTGTTATATATGGCTCAATAGAAAGAAATATGCAATAATAGGAAGGATCATTTTTGATAAACTATTAGGGAACACATCTCAGAGGAGGTTACAATAAAGCTAAGATCAGAATGAAGCAGTACCAATCATAGAGCTGGAGAACATTTTAGGGAAGGAGATGAGCATAGCAGCCTAAGGGTCCTAAGATGGAAGAGCATATGGTATGTTAGGGGAACTAAAAGAAAACCAAAAGAACTAGAGAGTAGTCAGCTACAGTAACAGTGTCACTAAAGCTGAATTCAACTAATGTGTTAATTCAAAAAGACCTAGGTTCTGCTCCCAACATGCAACTAAATGACTCATATATATTTTTAAGATTTATTTTTAAAGAGAAGGAAGAGGAGACAGGGAGGGGAAGAAACATCAATGTTTGGTTGCCCCTCATGCACCCCCCACTGGGGACTAGGCCTCCAACCCAGGAATGTACCCTGACTGGGAATTGAACCAGTGACCCTTTGGTTCCCGGGTCCGCACTCAATCCACTGAGCCACACCAGCCTGGGCTGATTTATATTTTTTAAAGTAAGAACCTCTGAATTGGTCAATCCAATAGTGATCCCTTTGCAGAATTTGACAATGCCAAATCCCATCTTTCTAGATATAACTCTGCCTTTGGCATGCCATTCTTTTCTAGCGGTAAGAATGTGGGCTGTGTACTCAGATTGTACTGATGCTGCTACTTACAAGTTGTATAACCTAGAACAGGTTAGCTAATCTCTCTTAATCTCAGTTTTATTAATGATAAAATGAAAAATAATACTAGCACCTATCTCAAAGAGGTATTGTAAGGATTCACATACATGTTTCACAGTGCATGGAACATAACAAATGCTCAATAAATTATCATTAGTAGTTATCAATATTCACACTTCCTTTTGTTTCATAAATTTAATGTTTCTTCTTCCACCTAAACCTGAAAGAACATCCTTGTCTCCTTACTTCTCACTCTATGTTCTCTCAGTGTGATCTTATCCATTCCTATGACTGACATTTTGCAAATGCCCAAATTTATTTAACTAAATACCAGACCTCACTTGTGAGATTCGGGAACCTTCTACACTTCGTGGCTTTATACGCACTCTGTCTTATCTGCAGAAGGCTCCTACCATCCTCCAAAGCAATTTAACACTGTGAGGTCTCAGCACAAACTGATTTGATTCTCTCGGCTGTTTCCACAGAACCTCATTGACACCTCTACTACCGCAGTACTCTTTTATCACATTATCATCCCGAAATTTTAAGTCTTTTTACTTAATCTGTGCCTGGCAAAAACGGCAGCGAACGCTCTTGAAAGCTCACCACAGGAAAGGATTATCACAAGGAAAATTGAATAGCGAAGTCACATAGACGATGGCCAGAATTTGTACTCCTGCAGTGATTCCAGAGCCCAAGATCTTAACCACGCGACCGCAGTTTAAACTTCAACAGATGCTCGCTGATTAAAACTAATTATGAGAAGAGAAAAAATGGTAGTAGTCAAGTCGTCTAGTTGTCTTTAGAATAAGGTTCGTGGATAAATTAGCTACGGGCTCGCCGAGCCAGGGAAAGATGACGTGTGAAGAAGTGCAAGGGCCGCTCTGGAGTCCTGAGACTGAGTCTATGAAGGCTGGGGCCAAACAGCTCGAAAACGACTGAATTCCCCAAGAGCATGGCTTCCGCGTCCTTACCGCTGGACTCCGACAGCCAAAGTGCAATCTCCCATGAAGCCGGAGGTTGCAGCCCAAATTGCCTAAGGCCAAGGCCGCAGACCGCTCGAGCAAGCTATCCAGGCATTATTCCCGCTTCCGGTTCAAACCTGGCGCGACCTCGCAGCGCCGGTCTCCACAGGAAGAAGTAAAGCAGAGCGGCGCCCCCCCTCCCGCCCAGCACCATTTGCCCATGCGCCTCATCTTCACCGAATCGGCGCTCCGGGCTTCGCCTCCCCGAAAACAGTGGGCACGTCTAAAGCCACGCGCCTGCGCCTTGCCCACCAATGGCGTGCGCCCTTGCGTTTGCTGCTCGCTCGCAGGCACGGACTCTGAGGCCTTCACTCCACCTCCTCGCCCCCTACAACCTCACCCACTCAAATATGAGGGAGGAAATGACGACAGTTTTAAGGAGAGCGGAGGCGGGTTTCATTTCGGCGCCTTTCTTTCTCCTGCGGAAGCGATTGGCTGGCGTGAAGTGAAAGAGGCGGGACGAATTGCCGCGGGTTCAGTGCCGCCACTGGAACCGGGAGATGCGGCACAGTGGTTGCTGCTGTGTTGGCTTTTACCCGAGCCTGGTCTCTTATTGGGGTCCCATCTGCAGCTTTGATTATGTTGTTACCTTCAGACGTTGCCCGGCTGGTATTGGGTAAGGTCGAACGCGGGAGGGAGGAATATTGGACCAGTTAAGCTGGGCGGAAGGACCTTTGGGGCGAAAGGTTTTCCCAGGGTGGGGAAGCTTTAGGGTTTTGCTTCCCCCCGACTACTTTAGCCTGATGGTGACTCTTATGCTGGAGGCTCGGGCAGTTAAGCCTCTTTGTACGTGGATGCTCTTCTCAGGCTGCGTGGCGGTGGGTAGGGGAGTATCGCTGAAGAGGAGCTTGGGTGGGACACCTGAGGCCCGGGTTTGGAGGGCAAGTCAGGCCTGAATACTTAGTTGAGACCTATGGAGGAGGGTTGGCTACGTGATGGAGGGAATGCATGTTTTTCAGCCTTGGGTGCACTTTCTCTTGTTAGGGCCGGGGCCAAAATAGGAAAAAATGAGGACTTTTTCAGGCACCCAGCTTTGTGAAAAGACCTTCCTGACGCCCTTCTGATAACTCGATTTTAGAACCTCGAATTTGGGGCGAATGGTGTGTTCTTCCCTCTCCACCCACTGCAAAAAGTCGTCCCGTGTAGAGGTTTGAAAGGCCAGCTGCATATTTTAAAACAACAATTCCAGGTTTTTTTGATTAGCAGGAAACTTCACATGGGAAATGACTTTCAGTTGACTTTTCTAGTCTTCGTTAGTTTTTCCTCCGTTTGCGGAGGATTAGTTCCTCGGGCCAGTTCTCAATGTGTATTATTGTCCGTGTGGGAAACAGGTTTTGCTATTGTTTGTACCCTGAAAGAATGAGGGTTGTACTACTGGGAGAGAGAGCCACATAAAACTCAAAATTCGAGCAAATTATTTACAGACATAATATGCGACATCCCTGAAAGTAAATGATAAACAACTCTGTTGAAACTTCCGGTAGTGTCTGCAGTCATTGCTACCATTGTTTTATTGTTAGATAAACCCATTGTCTTGTTTCTTTTTAAAATACTCAGTTCTGTCCAAAGAAATGATGTTTGTGCACGGACTCTTGATAGACACATTTTGCAGGAAATATTAGATGATAAGTGGCTCCATCACATGTTTTTAGAGAACTAAATGAATGGCTTAAGCGTAAACTAATATCTTGTTAATGTTTGCCCACTTTATCAGAATTGAGTACAGCTCACCTGAATCTATATCTGTATCTGTGAGGAAAAGGTATCTTGTAATTGTTATATTAGGCTTACATGTAAACCAGAGTAGGTTTTCACAGTGATCATGATAACATTGGTATACTTTATATTTTCCCTCCACGCAGTGTTTGCTTAAGAATTTTTGAGTTTTGGCATTTTGGTAATCTAGATGCGCTTCAGGAACCCAGTCTTCAGCAGGGTTTCTCACCTTCAGTGCTGTTTTGTTTGTTTGTTTTATTTTGTTCTTAAGATTTTCTTTATTTTCAGAGAGGAAGAGAAACATCAGTTAGTTGCCTCTCGAAAGACCCCAGCCAGGGATCTAGCTGGCAACCCAGCGTTTACCCTGACTGGGAATCCAACTGGCGACCTTTCGGTTCACAGGTCACTGAGTCATATGGGCCAAGGCTTATCCTCAGGAATGTTGACGTTTTGGGCCAAATGATTACTTACCAGGAACTGTCTTTTGCATAGTGGAATGTTTAGTGGCATCGCTGGCCTCTATCCTTTAGTGCTCCACTTCATCCTCATCCAGATACGACAACAAAAAATGTTGCCAGATGTTACCTAGAGGGCAAAATTACTGTCAGTCAAGAACCACTGGTCTTACAAAAGCAATATGATTTTCTAACTGGAATAATTCACACCAACTTGTGAGTCTTTATCCTGCACAAACCAGCTGCTCTGCTTCCTACTTTTCTTACCAATGGATAGAAACTCCAGCCATTGTTTCTTACCCTAAACTAGTTTTTTGCCATTCACATTCCATTTTGATTGCCATGTATCTTACCAATATGCCTCCCTATTACTTCTCTTTTGGACTTTTGTTGTTGCTTCTCAGATAATCTTACAATTCATCATATTTACTGTTAGAACACAAAATCTACCTAAAGCATTTGCACTACACTTCACATTCTTAAAGTTGAAAGTTGCGCACTTACCAGAAATTTCCAGTTGTGCAAAAGAATATCTAATAAATCTCCCCACACTCACTGCTCTCGCATTTTTTCATTTAGCATTACATTTCTTGAAGCTCCTATCAGCACATAAATATCTACAATTATAAAACCTAGTGGCTTAAAATATTAACTATCTTATTCTTCACTCATGATTCTTCTCATAAGTACTCCCCATCTACAGCCCCTCTTTGTTGCCTCCGTTTCTTCATAATGTTCTTTCAGCAAATCTTTGGGTGTTTGGTATGTTCCAGACACTGCCAAATGCTAATTAAGAAGTTCTCATACTTAAGGATTTTTACCATTACACACACACACACACACACACACAACACATTCCTACACGCCACTGCTTATTCTAGCTAATGCTCTGTCACCCTTTCATAAATCAAATTTATTCAAAGAGCAATAAATTTTACTTAGTTGTTCTACTTCCTTACCTATTTTTTGTTCTGCAACATACTGCATTGACTTTTGTACCTCACTGCACTTAAATAGCCCTTCTTGCAACTCAGCTACAGTCAACTGTTACCTTGCTAGAATTTCCTTAAATATTGCACAGGTCAAAATATGTCAAAGTGGTGTTTATTGCCTCTGGATCACCAGTTTGGTTTTTTATCAGTGGGTCACTCGAAGTGCTCTATGGAATCACCCTGCTTTATCTCACCTTCTCAACATCTACCCTGTGCACCAGCCATACCAAACTACTTGCAGTTTAACCAATTTTTTCTTTATATTCTGTTCCCTCTGCCTGCAGTGTTTTTCTCCCTGTCTTCCTAGTATTCTTACATTCACAGTTCAGGTCAAATGTAATCTCTGAAACCTCTTTTAGCAGGTATAGTTAGTACTTCTTAAATGTTCTCACAGAATTACACATTATTTCTGTTGTACCTTTACCATGTTTTATTGTAGTTGAGTGTTTCCTTACCTTTTTTAAAAACATGCAAAATCTAACCATTTTAGTGATTTCTAGGTGTACAGTTGTGTGGCATTATTTAATTCACATTGTTCTGTAACCATCTTATCCCCCCTAGAATCTATTTTTCCTAGAAATTTGCCTTTTTGTATATTCACTGTTTGTAATCTGGGATTAATAGACAGGCTTCGAGAGTTCTGGGATCCCCCAAAACCGTAAAGGTTTGTCTGTGCAGGTGGAGTGTTTTAGATTCCTAAATAGGCTTGTTCCTGTCTGTCTGAGTCAGCATTCCATTTAGGAAGATTGAAACCAATCTTTTTTTTTTTTTAATATTTTATTTATTTATCTTTAGAGGGGAAGGGAAGGAGAGAGGGAGAGAAACATCAATGTATGGTTGCCTTTCGTGTGTCCCCTGCTGGGAACTGGCCTGCAACCCAGGCATGTGCCCTGACTGGGAATTGAACCGTGATTGTCTGGTTCACAGGCCCGCGCTCAATCCACTGAGCTACACCAGCCAGGGCTGAAACCAATCTTGAGTATTTAACATGAAGCTATTAAATGAGGGAATTGGTTACATTGGAGATAGAAGAGCTAAGAAGAGCAGCTTAAGTGAAGCCAACTCAGGACAGCAGCAACAGCTGAAGGCCACAGAGGTGGTGAGAACAAGGAGAGATGAGGCAACCCAGAGGTTGAGTTTATGTACTATGTGGAAGATGAAAGGTAGATTTGTCTGGTAAGGGATCAGTAGTCAAAGTGGAGATTCTGCCAGGACAGAGAGTGAGTGGGAGGGAAAAAGTGCGGCTTCCAACTGCCCTTTAATCTTTACACTGGTGCTTCCCATTTATTAAACCCAGCCACTAGCCAGGTGATATAGAGCCTAGGAAACATTGCCTGCATGGGGTCAGGTTTCCTGTCATACAGTGCAGAGGAGGAGAATGGGGAAGAAGATATTCAAAGGCAGACAGAACCAGAACTGGCACACCTCCCAAAAAAGTCAAGACCTACTGTTCTTATTCAACTTTATATCACCAAGACATTACAGATATTTAATTCTTACTTACAGAAGTTTAATTGTGATTATATTTCCCTTTGTCTACTTAATACCATTTATTCAGATTCTGTATATTCATACTGTTATTATAATAATATTGTCATTGCTGATATTTACAACTTTTTATGATCCTTAACTCATTCTATCTTTTTGGTTGTATCTTCACCTATTCTCTGTCATATGTATTGTGCTTCTTCCAGCCTGGGCATCTTCTCCAAACATGCTCTTCATATGTTTTCCGTCAGCTTCTTTGGGATTCCGCAGCCATTCTTCAAGACTTTCCTCTTCCTTGAAATAGTGCAAATTTTCCCCAGATCTGATAATATTTTTTCTAGCCCCTATCCTCCCGTGAAATAAGTCCTAGTATCTTACCACCCTTGCTTTATATTTGTATTTATAGATCCTGCTTAATCATAACTTGTTCACTAACACAGACATAGTTATTTGTGGATGTAATAATATAAGGAATCATAAGTTAAGTCTTCCCATAAAATATTCACATTTTTTAGGATCATTAAACCATGAATTTTGGGAGAGCATTATTATGATATGTGAAGGATATATTTTCAGGTAGAAGGATTTCTCTATCTTGCTTTTTTCATCAGGCACCTCTTTTTCAACTTCCCTCTCTATAAATAGGAAGAGAGGCCAGACTCTTGGCATCCTGGTTCCTAAAATTTGAATACCCTTCATATATTTAGAATTCTAATTTTCCTAATTTTCCTTCTCTTTCTCAGTTATGTCTCTCCTTTAGTCTGGTTTGTTATTTATTACTACCTCCACTGAAGAGCAGGCAGAAGACAGTGTTATGTTAAGAAAAAAGGAAACCCAGGCTTACTTTCTTACTTATTTGAACAATTTGGCCACTAAGTTTACACAAAAGGTACAGTTAGTTATTCTGAAGTTACTTCTAGAAATAAAGAAACAGTCCTGGCTGGTATAGCTCAGTGGATTGAGCA